ACTTGAAGCACTAGCCAGAGAAATCAAGTAAGAGAAAGAAATAGAAGGGGAACATATAGGAAAGGAAGAACTCAAATTATGTTTATTGGCAGATGGCATGATGCTTTATATAGAAGATCCAACGTCACTAAAATCTTAGCATTAATAACCAACTTCAGCAATGTAGCAGGGATACAAGATCAACACACAAAAGTCGTTAGCATTTGGATATACTAATAATGAACTCAATGAGAAGGAAATTATGAACACTACTATTCATAGTAGCTTCAAGAAAAATGAAAAGCCCTAGGACTTAACCTAACCAAGGCAGTGAAAGACCTCTACAAAGAAAACTGTAGTACTTTGAAAAAGATTAGAGAGGACATCAGAAAGTGGAAAGATGTTCCCTGCTCCTGGATAGGCAGAACCAATATTATCAAAATGGCCATACTCCCAAAACTGTTACACAGATTTAATGCAGTCTCAATCAAAGTACCAACAGCACATTTTACAGAACTAAGGAAAACAATCCTAAAATTTAAATGGAACCAAAAGAGTCTCAGAATAGCAAAGGTGATTTGGGGCAACAAGAACAAAGCAGGAGGCCTTGCAACACCTGACTTCAAGCTATACTGCAAAGCAGTAGTGGTAAAAATGGTATGGTGCCGGAACAAAAATAGATGTGTGAATCAGTGGAACAGAACTGAGATCATAGAAACCTCACCAGACACATTCAACTCTGATATTTGGCGAACGGGCCAAAAGCATATGTTAAAGGAAAGGCAGCCTGTTCAACAAGTGGTACTGGGAAAACTGGTTTTGTTTTTATTTCTGAGTTTTAAAATATAATATTGTAGTTTTCTTTTTATTTGTATCTTTGCCTCACTAAATTTTAAGATTTCCTTGTACATCTTTGTATCTCTGGAACTGTCCCTTAAAGTACAAAGGGGTCCAGTAGACATTGTTCAATTGAATGGAGACAGTATACCCTCCCTAAAGGAAGTGAATACAGTGTTCAAAAGCATAATGGAAGATCATATTGTTAATATATAAGACAGGCAGAGTTCATTATATTTAGTGTGTATTTACAATGCTTATTATTTGATAGATTCTCTAGGAGAATTCAAAGATGAATATAGAAAGATAGTAGTGAATAAATTAGTGTGGAGGTTATCCCAGGCAGTAAGAATAGCATAGTGAGGACTGGAAATCAGCTCAGTGGAACAGCACCCTGCCTGGCAAGCCTGAGGCCCTGAGTTCAATTCCTAGTAAAAAAGAATAGCATAGCAAAAAGTGCAAAGGGAACAAAACCATTGTATGTACTAGGAAATGTCCAGTAGTTTAGTTTGGCTAATGTATAGTTGTATATAGAAGAGTAGTGACAAGGTTTTCAGCATCTCTTACTTTGACTTCCAAGTTAAAAGGATGCCATTTGACTTTCTTCCTTAGATTTGGTGAAGTATTATATATTGAAATATGTTGGTATTAAATTAGTTTTATTTTTCAGAAATCCTAATGTTAGAAAAAAGAGAAAAATTACTTTATTTTGATATGGTAGATTTATATCAGTAAATAACAGGTTGGACTCATTTGTTTTCTTTATTTAAATTGAATAATTTCAGGCTTCTTCTAGTTCTCAGGGAAAATCTATGTTAAGCATATAATTTTACCAGTTTGTTACTGCCTCTATCAAATTCTTCTGAACTACCAAGTTATTTTTAAATGGCTTTATCTATTATCTATTTATCTATTATCTTTATCTATTGAATGCTTATAAGAATACAGTCTTAACTAACATATAAATGGAAGATATTTGGAGATAATAAAATATGGCAGTATTTCAGAGTATTCTACATAATATTAAACAAGTCAGAGGACTATTTATATTCTTCAGTTTATCTAAATTTGTGATTATGGTGCTATTGCAAGTACATTAGTGATTTCATCTACTTATTCTGAGATAGAGAATTGTTATGAGAAATGTTAGAAATGTTATGAGAATGATAGAGAAATGTTATGTTTCCCGTTTTTTAATAAATTGCTATGCGGGCTGGGGATTTAGCTCAGTGGTTCCGCTGCCTACCTTGCAAGCATAAGGACCCGAGTTCGATCCCTGGTACCAAAAAAAACAAAACAAACTGCTATGTTGTGTGTATTTTATTGCTTAGAGGTGTATCTGTAGGGTAAATTCCTTGAGACAGGATGAATTAAATGAGAGGCAGGCACAGTATCACTGAGCTAAATCCCCCAGAACTATGAGTCAAATGATATGTTCATATTAAACCTAACTCACAATTGCCAAATTGACTTTGAAAAAGACCTCCAGTTTATATACCCTTTAATGTATAATAACTTTTCCATTATGCCCTTCCTAACACTGATAGAATTCTTTTAATTTTTCTATATTGATAAGAAACAGCATAGTTAGTTGAGTTTTAAAAATTATAAATGATGGATATCAAGTTTAGAAATTTTTATTGAGTTTATTGGTACTTTTTAGGTATATAATACATATACATTCATCATTGGGATCTTCTACCTTTACATGATGTATCTTGGTTCTTACTTAATTTTTCCCTATTTCCCTGCCCTCCTTTCACTCCTCCACCCTTCTCTTTACAAAGACTTTGTTTCCATTTTCTCCTTTATTCATATTTTTTATTTTCCCTTCTTTCCCTTCCCCTACCCTTCCCACTTCCCCTACTCCTTTAGCCCTTTTCTTCCTATTTCACATTATCAGTTATGCAACTTTAACCTTATATACACTTTTAATTTTTCACACCAGAGAAGCTGTTCAGTATAAGAGATGTTTCTTATTAGGCTTTGTTCTGAAAAAGTTGTATTTTGAAAAGTAACTTACAACTTAGTCTTACCTACTTTTTTTTTTTTTTTGAGAACCAGGGATTGAACTAGGGACCTTGCACTTGTGAGGCAGGCGGTAGAACCACTGAGCAAAATCCCCAGCCCTGTCTTGTCTACTTTTAAGACTGAAGTTGAAGGATACATGTAATTTCTGATTTATCACATAACAGCCTAGCCATGTGACTTGTTCACTTCAACTTTCCTTATTCTTGTACTCTTCATTCACTGGTTATTATCCTTAGTTCTGTAGGTACCCAGTGACCTCTGAAATGGTATAATTTTTTAATGTATTGTTGTTCAGTAAAGCTTTTCTATTAATAGTGATGAAGAAGTAACTAAAATGACAGAGCAAATTAGGTCACCTGGTAAGAACAAGATACTAAAATGAACTTGAGTACATCTATTCAGTGTCTCTTATATCTAGTCAGCTGGTTTCCTTGGGCCTACAGTTCCTACTCCCAGCCCAATTATCCATCATTTAATTATATGTGATTATGCACTGAAGAATTACATCCTGAAATAGTATGCTAGATAAGCCCACTTCCTCAGTACTATTAGAAAACCAGTTTGAGGTTCTTAACCTAGTTATAGCTGAATTAGTTGTAGTGTTATATATAACCTTACAACAAGCTGTAGCCTTATAACACAAAAAGCGTAATATTGCTGTATTTCAGTAGAAAGCTATTTATGGGACCTAGAAGGCAGTGAGTATAAGATTGTTATGCATTTATTCTAATTTAGAGTCATAAATTAATATGGGAGTAGTCAAAGAAGGGAAAGGTTTTTAAGAGTTTGTATTTTAGGGATGGGGATTTAGCTCATTGGTTCCGCTGCCTGCCTCACAAGTACAAGGACCTGAGTTCGATCCCTGGTACCAAAAAAACCCCAAAAAACAAAACAAAAAAAACCCCAAATACAAAAAGAACAAAAGAGTTCGTATTTAAGTGAACCTTTAGCCAATAAGAAAGTAGGGAAATATGAGTCAACATTTAATTAATATAAATTCTTATATAATATGTTAATTGCTTTCTTCGAGTACTGACTCAATTTTGTCATTGTAGAAACAACATGTATAAAATCTTCAGAGATAGGTATATTTTGTAAAGGTAGAAGAACAGATGTTTTCCCTGACTTTTTTATAATTAATTTTCATATAATAGATAACAAATTCGTAAGTTAGTACTTGACTAGCTGTTAAACTTTTCAAGGTAAATGTAATATTTATTTTTGTAGTGTTTTTTATCAGTTATTTGAAATTTATCGGGGGACTCATGGATAATAAAGCCAATTGTTAAGGATATGATTTTGATAATTTTTTGAAGATTTAGATTAGCATCTCATTGTATTAATAAGAACAAAGAGTAAAGAGACATTTGTGTATGACTGAAAAGAAAGTCCAGATTTCCAGATTCTTTTTTTTTTGGTACTGGGGATTGAACTCGGGTCCCTGCGCTTGTGAGGCAGGAGCAGAACCACTCAGCCAAATCCCTAGTCCTATAGATTCTTTTTACAATTTAGACAGAAGGTTTCCAAATTTGAACCTACAGTTATATATTTTAGCGTTCTGTTTGTTTATAATTTCCTCAAAGTGTTTATATATCATAAATTTCCCCCATAATGTTTTTGTGTTATTGTACATTTTCTTATATCAATAATAGGTAGTATAAAATATATCACAAACAATAACTTCTATTGAAGAAATGGTGGTTTCTTTTTTGTTGTTATTTATTTATTTATTTTTGGTTTTTTGAGACAGAGCCTCACCATGTAGTTCACTCTTGTCTTGAACTGTCTATGTAGCCAAGGCTGGTCTCAAACTCACAGTGATCCTCCTGCCTCAACCTCTCAAGTGCTGGGATTATAAGTGTGTTCCACCAGGCCCAGTTGGGAAAGAAATGATACTTTCAACCTTAATTTTAATGTTTCATTTTTTCTTTAAATGTAAAGAAGCTGGTCATGCAGACTGATTTCATTACAAGAATAGAACAAGTTAGAAATTATGTGAGGAAGTTAAAAATCTGGAGCATGGCTAAGTAAGGTTTAACTGGTCATTTTTTTATGCACTTAGCAAGAGGTGTTCATCTTAAGATGCTGGTGAAAAGGGTTTATTTCTTAACTTGTTTCTTATGACCTTGTGAATTGACTTATTCTTCTCTAAGGCACTTGAGAGAAAAGACAACGATAGCAGTTACATCTAGAGGCTATTATGGATTGGAGGATGAGAAGGGAACTGCATGTACTTCAACAAGGCGTCGGTCAACACCTCGAAGTTTGGCAGGCTTGACAAGCGGAGTTTTTGAGTCTGTAATGGTTCAAGTTTTGAGACAGGAAGAACAGCTGAGAGCAAAAGAAGAAAAAAGGTAATTGTTTAAAAAAAAACAAAATTAAGTTTCATGATGTTCAAGTTTCCAGGAATTACTTTTCAAAGAGTATTTGTATAACTTTTATGTGCCCATGTCAAGTTTCAAGGGCCCATTTTAGTATTCCAAAATGCATTGTTACTCAAGTGTGAATTCATAATGAAATATTACAGTGCAATTTGTTTAAAAATATAGTTTTAAACTTTCAGTCTAATTATCTTCAAACTATACTAAGCTAATTCTTATAAAAGTTTTCAGGAAAAAAGGAGTATGCTTTCTGGATTTTTAGAAATATTCTCGAGGGGATTTAGCTCACTGGTGCCGCTGCCTTCCTCAACAAGTGCAAGGTCCCGAGTTCTATCCCTGGTACCGAAAAAAAAAAAATTCTCAAGGAAATTTTAAAATACAGTAATATTATATAGATTCATCATAGTTTTAAAATAGAATCACAGACTTTTGAAAATAGAAATTCTAGAGATTATGTAGTTAAAGAAGGACACATAAATTGCTCTCTGTCAATAACTCCATTGTGTTAGTTTCTGCATAATGGTGCTTATTTTGGGCTCAACAGGAAAGTGTGTTGTATGACATTAGTGGTATCTTCCAGAGTCTGGAAGCTAAGAGTGACAAGACTAACATGACATTTTACATACCACAAAAGGAAATTAGAGTCCAGAGAAGTAAATGAAATTCAAGTTTCTATACTTGACTGGTGAATTTTTATAACAAATGAAATCTCAAACTATGTTAGAAATGATTGCTGATGTAATCAGGACTTGCTAATGCTAAAGGAATTTATAATATCGGTTACTCTTCTTTTAGTAAAAATATAACTTGCTTTGATATTTGTCAGATTAAAACTCAGACTTGAGACTTTCTTAGTCATCCTTTATATAGCAGTGATTAATTTAGGAATCCACTTTAAAATACTTTTCTTTCCTTGAACAGAGCTCTGCTATGGGTAAGAAAAGCTTATATAAAGCAGTAAAAATTAACAACACTATAATAGATGGAATAGGGAGAATTGCAAAAAAGGAAAATTCATAGGAAGAAGCTATACTAGTTTAACACTGCAATACTGGTCACTAGAAAATAGGGAGAAGTGGGATTGTTTTGTGAACAATTAACAAGACTTTTATACAAGGAGACAAGATTCTTTGATACAAGGAGAATGAAGGAAGAAACAAAACTGAGAAAGTGATAATAGTAATAGTAACAAAAAGATAAAGAATGGTTAATTTTTTTTTTTTTTTTGGTACTGGGGATCAAATTTGGGTCTTTGTGCTTGTGAGGCAGGTGGTGGCACCACTGAGCTAAACCCTGGGCCAGGTTAACATTTTTTTGAGAATGAGTGTTTTTTGGGTTTAGCGCTAAACATCTTATAGGTATTCAGTATTTATCCTGCGGCACAGAGAGATTAAGTAATTTCCCCAAGGTCAGGTAGTTTCTGAGTTGGAAATTCTGGCTATACAGCTTGTACTTCTAAGTAGGACACTATCCTTGTGATGTGTAAAACAGGGAGTACAGCAAAGAAAGTAAAGCTGTAAGATGTGAGTCCAAATGGGAGAAAGAGCAATTTGAATAAGTGGTTTGTGGTAGTGATGGAAAAGTTTAACAAACCAAGTAGGAATGGCTAGTGAGAAGCTAGAAATATGACTAAATCTTTTTTCTCCAAATCTTAACATGTATTTTTGTGCACCCTGACATCAAATAAACATAAAGGAATAATCCATGGAAAAAAAATCCTCTATTAAATGTGTCTTAGCAACTATAATAATTTAATGGAGTAATATGAATCAAGGTATCTTTGGGGTGTAATGTTAACTTTTGGGGGATGGCACTGGGTATTGAACCCAGGGTGTTTGCAGTGAGCTACATTCCTAGCTCCCTCTTTTCTTTTTAAATTATACAATATTTTAAACATGAAGCAAAAAATAAAGACTCTGAGGGGAGGGAGCTGGGAGTAAATGCAGGGGAAGATATGATCAAGATTTAAATGTACCAATTCTCTTTGATGAATGGATTTATTATGCATCTCAAACATTACTGATAAAAAGAAGGGGAGAAAAAAATAAATAAGATTATAATAAGACTTATATGCCCGCAACCCAGCAATTTTTAAAGAAATTAAAGTTCCTTGTACTTTTTCACCTGTCTTAGAAGAAACCATTATCCTGACTTTTTCATTCCTGTGCATTTTATTTTTGAATTATAAGAAGTATTTATATATTCAGGACACAAGTCATTTGTCAGAGATAAAACCATTACAAGTACTTTCTCCCAGTCCATAGCCTGCCTTTTTTATTTTCAGTTCAAAGCCTAGAAGTTTTTATTAAAAATTTTTTTTTATTTGTTTAGTACTGAGGACTGAATCCAGGGCTCTGAACATGCTAGGCAAGGAGTCTACTACTGAGCTGTATTCCTTTATCAAGTTTTTACCTTTGAAGTTCAGCTTAGCAATATTTAAAATACTTTATGCTTATTATAACCTATATAAGAAATATTAGCTTACCTAAGGTTATGTGAATCTTTTTCCAAAGGTTTCTAAGTGTTACAGTTTTATATCTGTTATCTATTTGAAGTTAGATTTTATGTGTGCTATGGAGTAAGGATAAAAGATTATTTTTATCATATGGATAGCAGATTGTTCCAGTATCATTTATTGGGGGGGACATTATTCTTTCACCGCTGAGTTGCCTTTGCATCTTTGTTGAAAAACAATCTAACATATATTTGTTAGTCTTTCTGGACTCTGTAATGTTCCATTTATTCAGGTCTATTTTACTATTTTGATTTTATTACTATGTATAGTGTTATAAGTCTTCCAACTGTGTTTTTTTTTTTTGAAATTTGCTTTGTTATATTAGGATATTCACATTTCCATGTAATATTAGAATCAAATTGTAAATTTCTTCAGGAAAAAATTAAGCCTGAGAGAATTTTGATTAAGATTTTCTAGATGGGGCCGGGGATTTAGCTCAGTGGCACCTACCTTGCAAGCACAAGGTCCTAAGTTCAGTTTCCAGTACAAAAAAAAAAAAGATTGCATGGATGTTATCACTTAATTTCTGAGTAATTGTATTTAATTTCCATCAATAATGTTTAGTATTTTTCAGTGTAAACAATTTTCATTATTTGACTTTTACCTATATATTTCATGCTTTTGATGCAATAGAAAATCACTTCAGATTTTAATTTGTAATTATTTATTGCTTATATATACAAATACAGTTTTTAATCTATTTCTTCGCCTAGTTTTGTCAGATTTTGCTTTAATTTCAAATTCTACAGTTAGAGACATACATAAGATTCATATGGGGTTGTTTTTTTTTTTTTTTTTTCATGGATTGGCCTTTTCCCTGTGCTAAATATCCTTTTTTAATCCCTAGTTGTATTTTTTACATTTTAAAATATTGTCACTTATGGTGGCCTACACCAACTTTGTACTTTGTTTTTTCTTCTCCCACTTTTTAGTACTCATGGTCTGGGGCTGGATTCCATCATCTTCCCCAAGAGGTACAGTTTATGAGGAACAGCAGTGAAAGCAGCAGCCCTTGAGTAATAACTTCAGGTGGTGCACATAGATGGCAGCATCGCACTTCAACTGTGTCATGACGGCACCTGAGCTAAGACGATATGTACACGATAGCATTACCTAATTTTCTTCCATATCCAAGATTGAGCCATTTGGTGCTAACTTTGGGCTTCTGGACAAGTTCTGTGTATTACTAGTTTTTACTTTGACATCTGAAAGCCTGAGGAAGTTAATCTTACCCTGTTATATGTTCTTAGTGTCTCCGTCTGATGAATAGTTTCCATGTTACTGGTATATAGTAACCAAAGGTTGCTTATCAATGGAATAGGCAAAAAGAAATCTGAAAATTTTTCATATACTCCAACTTCCCTTTTCATTTTGTTCTCGTACTTGGTACTTCTTAATGTAAGTTGAACATCCCTGATTCAGAAATCCAAACTTCAGAATACTCCAAATTTTGAAACATATTGAGCTCTGACATGACACACAGATGGAAAATTTATGTGATACAATTTGTACTCAAAATTTGCAAACCTAATGGATTGCACTTAGAACATAGGCACACTAAAAATAAAGTATAAAAAAATACCTTCATTGTATGTAAACTATGTATGAAACAAATAAATCTCATGTTTAAACTGAGGCCTTATCCCCAGTAATATTATTATATTCCTAAATCCACCGCACTTTTTTTTACCTTTTTGATAATATTTACTTATTTTTTTCTTTTTGAAATAAAAAAATTAAATTTTATTTTATCCTATTCCTTCCCTCAAGGACCTTCTCTATGTACAAAAGCTTTGTTTTCATTTTTACTTTGTCCCTTCCTTTCTTCCTCCCTCCTCTCCTCCCTTGTTTCCCTTCCCTTTGAATGCTTTCTTCCCATATTCCAACTTCTATTATACATTTCAATCCTTGTTTCAGTCTCACACCAGAGAATGCGGTATTTAAACATATGTGTGTCTGACACTTAAGAGTATGTTCTCACTCAGGAGGCTGAGGTAGGAGGATCGCTGTGAGTTCGAGACCAGCCTGGGCTACATAGTGAGTTCCAGGTCAGTCTCACTACATAGTGAGACCCTGTCTCAAAAAAAAAGTATGTTCTCAAGGTCCATCCATTTATCTATAAATATCTGAAGTTGATCCTTTTTATGGTAGAGTAGTACTCCATTGTATAAAGAAACCACATCTTCTTCATCTACTTGTCAGCTGATGGGCATTTGGGCTGTTTCCAAGATTTAGCTATTACAAACTGTGCTGCTATAAACATGGGTGTGCATGTATTGCTGTGGTATGATGCTTTTAATCCTTTTAGGAAGAGTCCAAGAAGAGGTATAGCTGGATCTAATGGAACCTCTAGTTTTAGTTTTTTGAGAAATCACACTGATTTCCACAGTGGTTACACCAGTCTACACTCCCACCAACAGTGGAGAAGGGTTCCTTTTTCTCCAAAGCCCTTGCAGCATTTGTTATTGGTTGATTTCTTAAAAGCAGCCATTCTTTCTGGAGTGAGATGGAATCTCAGCATTGTTTTCATTTGCATTTTATGGATGACTAGTGATGTTGAGCATTTTTTCATACATTTATTTACTGTTTCTAATTCTTCATCAGAGAAGTGTCATCATTTTAGATGCCCAGTTTTATATTGGTTCTTTAAATTTGATGGGGGGCTCTGATTTTGTTGTGTTCTTATATATATTCTAGATAATAGTCCTTTATATGAATAGCTGGTAATAAATTTTTCTCACTTTATGGGTTGTCTGGTCACACTGTTGGTGGTTTCTCTTGCTGTGCAAAAGCTTTTTAATAAAATTGATATCTCAGTTGTTAATTTTTAGCAGAATTTCTTGTGTGGTCTGGGTTTTGTTCATGAAGTCTTTGCCTACTCCTGTGTCCTCAAGGATTCTATCTATTATCTCTTCCAGCAGATTTAGTGCTTCTGTTTTAATAATTAAGTAGATCTTTGATCCATTTCAGTTTTAGGTTAGTGTGGTGAAAGATATGGGTCAAGTTTCAATTTTTGGTATGTAGAAAGCCAGTTTTCCCAGCACCATTTATTAAAGAGGTTATCTTTTTTCCAGTGAAAGTGTTTGGCTCCTTTGTCAAAGATAAGGTGTTTGAGTATGTCTGGAGTTGTTTCTGCATCCTCTAGTCTGTTCCATTGAGGCTCAGGTCTGTTCTTTTGCCAGTGCCATGCTTTTTTGTCACAGTAGCTTTGTAGTATAATTTAAAGTGAAGGATTGTGATACCCCTGCTTTGCCTTTGTTGCCCAGAATTGCCTTGGCTATTCTAGGTCTCTTCTGGTTCCAAATGAATTTTAGGATTTTTTTTTTTCTAGTTTTGTGAGATATGCTGTTGGGATTTTGATTGGAATTGCATTGAGTCTGTAAAACAATTTTGGAAGTATGACCATTTTCACTGTAATAGTTTTTCCTATCCAAGAACAAGAGATATATTTCCATTTTCTGATATCCTCTTCAGTCACCTTTTTTAATTATAGTTTTCTGTGTAAAGGTCTTTTACTTCCTTTGTTATATTGATTCCTAGGTATTCCATTTTTTTATATACTATGGTGAAAGGGATTATTTCTCTGATTTTTCTCTGTGAGTCTGTTATTTGTGTATGGGAGGCATATTGACTTTTCAGCCAACACACATCTTGTCCCAAACATTTTAGATAATGATATTCAACATATTATCTCATTCCCTTTGGGAACAATAAGATGTTATATATTCTGGTTTAAAAATAGAAATCTGCCATAAATACTATTATATTTTAACTTGTGTGTGCAGTCAGCAAGAGAGAATTTCCAGACTTAGAGTGTGAAATATTTTTCTAGTCAGTAAATGATTTTACAGTGAGTTTATACTCAGGATTAATGATGACAAGATTGACCAAAATCAGTTTTCTCTATTAAACAAGCCTACTTTTTTGATGGTTAATAGTTTAACATATACAGAATTCTACAACAGACTTAAAAAAAAACTCAATTAAATTACAGTTTTATGGGAAATAATTCAACAACCTTGTGTATAGTTTAACAACAAAATTTCAAGGAAGAAATTCTTATCTTCTCAATATAGAAAGTGTAGAGAAACTTAGTTTCATGTACAGTATCTAATTCTTACAAACAAGATTTTTAAATTACCTTGCTAATGTTCTTTTGTTTATGAAAAAGTGATTAAGAATTGTTTTATTTTGCAGGCTGACAATACTGTTCAGCTTTTAATAAGACAGCACTCTTATTCCAATTCAACTTTTAGCCTATGAGTAAAATCTTCTACTTTAATGTAGAATTATTTCTTCTGGTAATTATTTACACATTTCTAAATGAATACTGTGTCATTATTTATTGATTTTTTTCTTTTCATTCTAGCATTATCTATTTATTAATCTCCATCTGTGGGAAATGAAGATTTAGTCATAATTATTTCCCCTGATAAAAATTTTGCATGCTTTATTTCTCTTCTAAGTTTTGATCTCTTCTGCTTCATCCATTTTAAGTATTATTGTTGACTAATAATTCAGCTTTGTCACATTTTTTTTCTCACTAGGCAATATTACTATTTTTTATTAATGTTTATTTATATTTACCCACATGATTATTCCCAGTCCTTCTTGAATCTTAAAATTTCTTTCAGTGATCATTTTTTCTTCTTTAAGTATATACTACAGGAGTATTTTTCTCTCTTTTAATTTGGCTAGTTTCTTTCACTGTATTTAAGTTCAGTAATCTTTTCTTCTGCTCTGTCTACTCAGTTATTAACCCTATTCATTGTTTTTATATCAAATATTGTTGCTTTATCTGTAAATTTTTTTTTTTTTTTTTTTTGTTTGGAGTTCAAACT